TTTTAGGTCAAGAATTAACAAATTCATCATCACTCCACACACAGATGTTCTATTTGGCCGTTAGTGTATTAGAATATGCATCGGGATACATCAGTCGGTCCGTAGGATAGCATTAAAAAGATTTTTTGAAGTGATTACTTCTTATGGGAGGGTTAACCGCTTCGTTACGTAACGCGTTACGGCGCCGGTCTGGCTGGCTTCCCTTCCTCTCACGCATACGGCTGCGGTAGGCAGGCTCCTCTTCTCTCACTCTAACCAGCAGCGCCGCTTCTTCTGTCGTGTCGTGATGCGTTCCGAGTAGGGTTACCATCCGTCCGGATTAGTGCGGACATGTCCGGACATTGTCCGGAATTTTTTAAATTACATTGAATATGAATAATAAAAGTACTTATTGATTTAAATATCATACAATTGTAACTTAGTGAGTAATGGTACCATTCTGTGACCAAAAAATCCGGACTTTTTTCGAAATGTCAGGATTTTTGTTAGGACTTTTAAAATTCCTAAATGGTAACTCTAGTCCCGAGACGCACACGCTTTTTGTTTGATTTTATTTCATTAATACTGAAAGACGTGTAGCATTCACCGTTCGTTACATTTGTTCGTGTCCACGGTGGCTTGTATAAAGTGTACGTTTTAATTAACAGGAAAGATAAAGGGTTATAAGAATAAACTTTAAACAGATTTACGTCTTAGTAACAGTCTCAAAGTAATCTAACTTTTACTGCAGGTAAAAGGCAGCGAAAAACACACGAAACCTTGTAAGTACAGTCAGCCACATCACATTATATCAGAAATTGTCTTCATAAAAAATAGTTAAGATTGAAAAGCAAAATAAAGCTCGTAGTCTGTTCCAGAAATTTGAAATTTTTGAATAACTAAACATGACCGCCTGTCTGTCAAAGCTTATTTTAGTTTTATATGTGCTCCTCTCCGCTGAATATAACAAAGGTGAATGTATGACAAACATTTATTTCGGTAAGAAACGTGTGTTTTACTGAGGTCGGCAGGCGGTCATTGTAGGTTAATACAAACTGAATATAATCGTGTAATTTATTTTACTAATATTAAGATCTGGCTCGACTTCGCTTGGGTGCTCTATTTAGCAATAAAGAATAAATATTTCCAACACTCACACCAATTAGCCTAGCCCCAAAGTAAGCACTGTAAAGCTTCTGTTATGAGATACTGGGGTAACGGATAGAATACATATACTGTACATTCATAAATATATCTATATGGAAATATATATCAAACATCCATGACTGGAGTACAAATGCTCATATTCATCACACAAACATCTGCCCTAACGGGATTCGAACCCGAGACCTCTCGAGTCGGCGACACCATGAAACCCGGCGTACAAACCACTCGACCACGGAGGTCGTCAATATGGCAAATTTTTGATAAAAATAATAGGAATGTTTACGAATTTTTTTGATAGTTTGTCCAAAACATTTTCGTTTATCCCTTGTCCGTAATAACCGCTCTTAAATTATGCTACGTCATACAGATATATAGATTTTGTAATATTTTTCTGCAAATTTTACACCGACTAAAATTCAACTGGACTGTTCCTGAAGGTCATGAACGAATTCTGTCTGTTAAGATGAGTCAAGTCAAGTCGACATTTGCTCTTGAAGTACAAAAATTCTTTTGATAAGTATACGAAAGACATTCGTGCGTCATCTAAAAGATTCCAAAAACGAAGAATTCCTTAGTCATATAAAACTTTTATCAAGCAACTGAAAGTTAGGTTTAACAAAGGAGAATTCAGTAAGAACTATTTCTTAACTGTAATTCTCGTACTTTTTACTGATTCGCGTAAATAAAATAAAGTTTTGTTGACATAAGAACTATTTTATACACGTGGATGCCCCACTACTTATAATATCGTTCAGGGGCAACTTCAGCGGAAAAAAATAGATCCAAGTTGGTAGATTTAAGTGAGAACAATAAACACCACTAGCTAGTAGTTTCTGTTATGTGAAATATCTACTAAAAGGTCAAAACAGCCTACTACGCATATGTAGTTTGTCACTCATTGATATAAAATATATCAATGCTTTAAAGTGAAAATACAACAAAATATTCAATTTTTGACGACCTCCGCGGCAGAGTGGTTTGTACGCCGGGTTTCATGGTGTCGCCGACTCGAGAGGTCGCGGGTTCGAACCCCGGTGGAGGCAGATGTTTGTGTGATGATTACGAGCATTTGTACTCCAGTCATGGATGTTTAATATGTATTTCTATAAAAATATACTTATATATGTACAGTATATGTATTCTATCCGTTAACCTAGTATACCATAACACAAGCCTTATACTGCTTACTTTGGGGCTAGGCTAATTGGCTGGAGGTTTGGAAATATTTATTTTTTATTTAATTTTAATTATGACATTAAAGGCATTTCTACATACTATAATAGCGGTTATTCTAGGCATACAACAGGGCTATGTAACCTTTAAATAAAATTTTCGAGATAGTTGTTCGTGGTAGGGGACTCAAAGCAGACTGTCAGAGTCAAGACAAATATCAGTAGACGTCACAGTTACGGTTAGCTGACACTCAGAACCGTGCCGTTTACTTTGAAAACGCTGCCAATAATGAATCAAGTTATTTTAAAAAAATGAGGAACAAAGATTCAAGGATGGACAGAGTTAATTAATTAATTAATTGTTTACAGTAAGTGTTGAGGCAGCTCTTCTTACTATTCTTCTTATAAAAGGTTGGGTAATGGACTAATTGGAGTGCGTATAGTACAATTCTAAAAATCACAACATTTAAACACATTTTCCAAGTTTGAGTGGCTATTCGAATATGGGCGGGCTCTTTCGAGGTTCCCATATCGATTCTTGGATATCGATAACAATTGATATTTTACGTGTCCGATATATTATACTATGTTTTATGTACGATCATTTCGTTATATAACATAGTATAATATAACGAAATTATCGTACGTAAAACATAATATATTATATGCTATTAATATATAGTAGCTTTGGCAACGCTACTCACTGCCGTTGCACGGATTTCGGTCGTTCTTCTAGTAGTAGAAGCTCAACGATGTTCGTTACCGTTGTAGGGTAGCTTCATCAGATTCGTTCGTTCCAACATCAATAACAAAACACTGTCGAATTCACGAAAGCCAACTACTAGCAAAGGATCGTTACGTTGGTACTCCATCGTTTTATTGGCGTATAATGTTGTCGTCTACTTTGTACGTGTCGGCGACCTTGAACTCTAATACCTTCGATACAAGCTAGGTAGTACAATGTTTATATCAGACACCAGTGTGTTCCGATGAACACTGGCGAGTAGATAGATGAAACGAGTATGACTCGTAAAACATTAATAAAACATTATTTTTAAAGCGTACTTTTGATGGCGTGAAAGCACGGCAATTATGGGGCAATGCTCTACCTTATATTACATTAGTATTATTTTATAAGGTAGGTTTAGGGCATTGGGCCCTATCTTAAAAATACGAATTATGCTTCATAGCTACCCATCCCCACGACAACGGCTAACTAGAGCCGAGGTTCGAGTCTAAGAGAGGCAACTAGTTGAGCTGACCCCTCTGGTTCGAGTGGTCTAGAGGCTCCAAACGGAGAGGAGACTCCCCCGTGGAATACCTCTAGAGGCACTCGCCAATTCTCGGCTTGAGGTCCCCTTAGGATCTCACTGTCCCCAAACCCGGTGATGCTGTAAAGGTCATCTGCAACCAACAGCATACAAACTCAAAAAAAAAACAGTCCCCGGGGGTTGTTTAATATTTTATTGATTTTCTTTTTTATTCCATTTTAACCCCAACTGTGACTACGGTCTACGGTTTTTTTTTTCATAAAATTTGCATCGAGCTAGTATTAGTGTCACACGTAGTGATTTTCACGTGGATACTTTTCTTATGATTGTGTCGAAAATTACAGCGTAGTCAAACATATTTCTATAAAATCAATATTGCCGGATCCTGTGTGACACTTAAGTGAACTTGAAATATTATCCAATCTATTTACTTGTAAAATTCTAATTAATTAATTTTCAACAAATTTTAATTATCGCACTCTTCATTACGTATGCAAATAAAGACTACGACGTTACTGACATATTCAATCCCACACCACTATTGGTAAATAAATAAGTAAGTTAAATTACTCTCAAAAAAGTTCAAAGGTTAGTTTGTTCACCTTGAGTAAGGAGTGCGCCCAACAACTGAGCCAGCGAGCCTACCGTCTACCGTTCGGTCTGAAAGTGACCTTAGGGCCCGTCTGCGATCGAGTCAAACACCCTTGGGTCTGCGTACTGTGACGTAACGTACAGGGCTCCCGGCGCGGGTCGTTTAACTGAAGAGGTTCATGTACGGACTTGGGAAGGTTATATGGGTGACCTACTTATTGGCTTATTTAAATTTGTGTATTACCTATATAAGAATCAATAAGGAGTAGAGTAAAAAAAAAGTTGCAATCTTATGTTATACCAAGTGTTTAACCAGGAATCAGCTGTGATATATGGCATTACTTACTTTGATACCCTTTTTAACAGAAAAAAGTCATCTGAGGGTTTAATCTAGGAATTACAGATTCGCGAAATGTACAATTCTATAAATGACCGATTCTACAAATTATCGATTCTACAAGAGACCTTGCTTGGCTGAGCTTAATGTGTCGTCAAAAATAAATTAAAGCATGTGAAATAAATAATTTGGCTATCCTTTCACTGCATTTTATTTACCTTACGCCTATTCAAAGTACTTACTGTTTATAAAATTCAAACATCAGTCAATGTAGAATCGGTCATTTGTAGAATCAGTCATTCATAGAATTGTACATTTCAAGAATTGGTCAATTATAGACGATGTAGTCATTTCGCGAATCAGCCATTCCAAGGCTTCTGAGATTACAAACTTGGTAATATGTAAATTTTTCGTTCGTGTTAACCTTTGAGTATATATCTATTATAGATACGTTGGGTATTAAACAAATTATCATGTACTTACCCAATATCAGGTGTAGTTTAGCGTCTGTCTGGAAGGCGTAGTGAAGTGTGACTAGGAAAGGGCACTCCCGCACAGCTTCCAAGACCTGGGCAAAACGCATACTTTAAGTTAGTTACTTAAAGACCAGAGTACCTAAACCATAACTTATTTTTTGAACCTTACTTTTCGACGGAAACACCAAAACTCCAATAAGTACTGTTATTTTACTGTGATGTTCTGTAAGATGGAGGTAACTTCCCCAGACGGGCACTCTAATTTAAGCGGTAAAGCCAATATGCCCTAGCTCTTTTAAACTCTTAGTTTTTATTTATCGAAATTTAATATAAAGTGGTCAGGTTAGATACCAAAAAGAAAAATATTGTGGTTTGTTCTGTACATTGTTGATTAAATTTAAAATGTGAAAGTAGTCAATAGCTAAATTATTTCAAATGAAAAACCCAACGATATCAAAATATTATCGTTGTAAAATGTATGTTTGTTTTCTTTCATGAAAATTCATTGGTTTAACCTCATCATCATCAACCCATGTTCGTCCACTGCTGGACATAGGTCTCCCCTAATGCACGCCACTGCTCCCGATTTTGTGCTACTCTCATCCAGCCCACTCCAGCCAGCCTACGAATATCATCATCCCATCTTGTCTCAGGGCGTCCTACACTACGTTTACCGAGTCGCGGTCTCCACTCAAGAACTTTCCGACTCCAACGTCCATCAGTTCTGCGGCTAATGTGACCAGCCCACTGCCACTTCAGTTTGCTAATTCGGTGGGCTATGTCGGTGACTTTGGTTCTCTGTCGGATTACATCATTTCTGATGCGGTCCTTCAGGGATACTCCGAGCATAGCCCTTTCCATAGCTCTCTGAGCGACTTTAAACTGGTGGACTCGTCCAGCCGTGAGTGTCCACGTCTCGGCGCCGTATGTCATAACTGGGAGGACGCACTGGTCGAAGACTTTCGACTTGAGACATTGAGGGATGGGTGACGAGAAGACTTGACGAAGCTTACGAAATGCTGCCCAGCCTAACCGAATTCTTCTATTGGCTTCTCTCTCGAAGTTGTTTCTGCCTAATTGGAGCGTTTGTCCTAGATAGACATATTCATGAACAACCTCAAGAGGTACTCCATTAACAGCAACCAGTCCCGGATCAACGAGCTCGTTGAACATGACCTTGGTTTTATCCAAGTTCATCCGGAGACCGATGCGTTTGGAAGATTCAGCCAGGCTGCTCACCATCACCTGTAGCTCTTGCAGGGTTTCAGCCAGGATGACGATGTCGTCCGCGAATCGGAGGTGTGAGATGTATTCGCCATTAATATTAATTCCACGTCTTTTCCAGTTGAGCGTTCCGAACATATCCTGCAGCGCAGCGGAGAAGAGTTTCGGGGATATTACATCCCCTTGTCTCACACCACGGCGCAGCAGGACAGGCTCGGTCTGATCATTCTGGAGTACGACGGACATATTAGCGGCGTCATACAGACATCTCAGCACCTCGATATATCGCCAATCAACTTGGCACCTCTGCAAGGCCTCAAGAACAGACCAGGTCTCGACGGAGTCAAACGCTTTCTCATAGTCCACAAACGCCATGCACAGGGGCTGGTTATACTCTTTGGTCTTCTGTATAATCTGCCTCACTGTGTGAATGTGGTCTATGGTGCCATAACCCCGTCGGAACCCAGCCTGCTCCGCAGGTTGAGCTTCGTCAAGTCTTCGTGCAAGGCGATTCGAGATGACTCTTGAAAACAATTTATAGACGTGGCTCAGGAGTGAAATTGGTCGATAGTTCTTCAGTAAGGTCTTGTCGCCTTTCTTAAAGAACAATACGACCAAGCTCCGGTGCCACGCCCTTGGAGTTCTCCCGGAGAAAAGAACACAGTTAAATATACGCCGGAGCTCCTTCAGCACCGGCTTGCCGGCAGCTTTCAGAAGCTCGGTTGTGACTCCGTCCTCCCCCGGGGCTTTTCCATTTTTAAGTTGCCCAAGAGCCGCCTCGATCTCCTCTAGGTCGATGTCGGGGAGATCCTCCGTCACATGGCGGGTTAATGTGGCTCTTAAATCTCTCTCATCCGACGTAGGGTGGGGCGAGTGTGACGTGTATAACTGGCTATAGTAAGTATAAACTTCCGAAAGAATCTCTGGTTTCGACGTGACGACTTCTCCACTTGTTTTAGTCAACTTCGTAAGGTGGCTCCTTCCAAGCTGTTGTACGAAGACTTTAGACCCCCGGTTCTGCTCAATTGCTCTCTGTATCAAGAGTGTATTGGAGCGTCGGAGGTCACGCCTTATCAGCTTGGAGATGGACTTATTCAGAGCCCGGTGCTCTGACGAAGTGACTTGTGGATCGTTTCGCCGCTTGTCCATTAGATCCAGAGTCTCTTTCGAAAGCTTAGACCGCTTGCCCGTACGTCCCAGCTTACAGAACTTCGCACCCTCGTCCCGAAGGATTTCTACCACTTGGTCGAGTTCCTCGTCGATGTTAACGTCAATTGTGGTTTCCAAGGCAGCGAATCGATTTTCCAGTTTCAGTTGGAATGCGTCAGAACCAACGGCCGATTGAAGCAGATTTGTCCGGAGCGTGGACTTCATCAATCGACAACGTTCGCGCTTAAAATCGATATTCAGAGTGCCTCTTAGAAGTCGGTGATCACTTCCAGTTTTAAACCTATTGATCACTGAGACATCTCTGAATATGCGCTTCTTGTCCGATATGATGAAGTCAATCTCGTTTTTGGTCATATTATCGGGGCTCCGCCACGTCCATTTCCTCTGGGGCTGTTTCTTAAAGAACAAATTCATTAAGAAAAGCCCCTCACGTTCTAAGAAATTGACGAGCATTTGCCCCCTATGATTCCTACTCCCATAGCCGTATGATCCTAACATCGATTCGCCGCAGGTCTGTACTCCCACTTTAGCGTTGAAATCCCCCATGACAACGTTAAAGTGAGCCTTGGTGGTGGTGTGTAAGGCTCGAGAGATGTCCTCGTACATCTCTTCCACGACATCATCCGAGTATGTCGACGTTGGAGCGTACACTTGTATAACCTTTAGGCTATACCTTCTGGTTAATTTTATAATGAGGTACGCAACCCTCGCCGACACACTGGAGACTTCAATAACGCTGTCAGTGAGGACTTTGTTGACCAGGAACCCGACGCCGCCCTGTGACGGATTTTCTCCCTCTCTGAAGTACATAAGATGGCCAGACTTTAAGGTCAGCGTGTCCTCGCCCTCTCTGCGGACTTCGCTCAGCCCGAGCCCGTGCCATCTTATGTGCTTCAGCTCCTCCTCCAGTTGTGCTAGATGAGAGTCGAGCCGTAGCGTGCGACCGTTATATGTCGCCAAGTTTAGTATTTTTTGGCGGCCTACCGTAGCCCGGAGATTCTTAGCACCCCCTGCCCTGCCGTAACCGAGACCGCCGCCTTGGCCTGGAATAGCAGGGCTACCGGGAACTGGGGGCCGGGACAATGTTGTACTTATCATGTAGGGGGGGTTTGGACCATAACCCACCACGCTGGTCCAGTGCGGGTTGGTGGGTGGTTTCGCCAGGGCCTCGTCTGTTATACAGCAGGACGCACCGCTTGCAGGGGAGGTTGGCTTGGGACCCTAAAGATATTGTGTGGGCCCCCTTGCGTCCCTGTGGGCCCCCTTGCGTCCCTTGGGTCCCTTGCGTCCCTTGGTTTAACCTAAATGATTTTAATAATGTCTAGACAAGTCAGCTCCACTAGGCCTTTCTCTTTCTAGAATTTGTGAATTTGGAGTTACCTGAGAAACATCACTGGCTAATTCATACAACGATTAAAGTTATATCTTTGCAAAAAAAAAATCTTTTACTATAAATGTATATTTTTTACGTTAAAACCGACCAACCAACCAATTGTGAAACCTAATTGTCATAATTTATTAAACTAAAACTACTTTTAGGATCTACGTACTTTAAACGGACAATAAATCCATAACAGGTGTTATTTGCAAAGGATATTTTGGTAAACGATATAAATTAATATTTTTGTATGGGGGTTTAGTAAGTTAACTGTTTATAACTATTCTCACTAATTTCATTAACAAGATTTTAAGGTTTCTCAGTCAACTCAAAATACAAAGTCAATAACAAAAAAAAGTATCTCACCTGTCTTTCTGTTCTCGTGTGTTCTGCAGTCTTTAACTTCTGTACTATCGATGCCTTCTTGAGTACTTTCATTGCGTATAGTTTGCCCTCGTCGACACCGCATCTTTTTCTAACTAAAAACACTTTGCCGTAAGCTGAAACAAACAAATTCTCATTAGTCATTATATTCGACGGTTAACGCATTTTTTTTGTCTATAGATAGGTCCGACAAATGACTCCACCCCACCTGAAGTTAAGTGATGGTAAAGTCTACACGTGAAGATAGCTGGTACAGCATTTCTACCAGCCACACCAGCCATCCTTAATGTATGCAGTTGAAACCATTTTGTATGGCTACTAAGGTAAGTCCAAAATAAAAAATGTTATTTATTACATCCACGGATGTTCTTAAATCAAACTTCGGCTCTCCAGTTTAAACCAGAATATATAATATATGATTGTTTTGTAAAACATGTAATGTTGTCGAATCTGGCACGATTATTTAAACCTCAAATCAAATTTGACAACAGTGTATCCTGAAGCTAATTTAGTTTTAAGTTTAGAGAATTATGACAGAATCGATACTAATAGTGACCTATATTTAAGATAACACGTAATTGTCATTGATGTTTGTATTTTGTTTTTTAGGGTTCCTTACCCCGAAAGGAAAAAACGGAAACCTTATAGGATCACTTTGTTGTCCGTCCGTCTGTCAAGACCCTCTTCTCAAGAACGCGCGGAGGTATCAAGCTGAAATTTATATTTAATACTCAGGTCTACTGTCTCTTGGAGCTGTGAAAAAATCAAACTTCTAAGTCAACGCAATCAAAAGATACAGCGGTATATGTCGCAAATTGTCGAAACTCGCAAGGGAACTAAAACCTACAGGGTACTTCCCGTGAACTCAGAATCTTGAAATTTGATACGAAGCAACGTCCTATAGCACAGATAACTAAAGGAAAAATTGCGAAAACCGTAAATTTTTAGTAACTTCACATTTATTTTTTAATAATTATTATTATAATAACCTTCAGGTTTGCACGGACCTTTCGGTGCTCGATCCGACTCGCACATGGCCGGTTTTTTTATATGGCGTGTATATAATGTTAGTTGCATTCCAATAAATATTAAGATGACAAAAGTTTGTATGGTAAACCAATAATTAAACACACATATTTAATGCAGACAAATGAAATACTTTCGCGTCTCTCTAATCTAAACAACTCTAAACAGCATTGCAATTTCAAAACACAAGAACGCAAGGTGTCGCAGTCTCGCACATAGGAAGGTGCTAAAAACACTTTTTTCTATGGACTTCCCATTGTTAAATTCGGTGTACGGCGGTGTTCGTATTAATGTTGCATTGTGTTCGTTAACTGCATCGTTTTACGACGCGAAAGAAAAAAAAAAGATCCAAGTTCAGTTTCCGCATGGTGTTATGGAAAAGGTGAACAATGGCGGAGGATGGAGAATGTACAGAATAGTAAGTACATCAAAGGGTCCACTCCATATTTAAAAATGAGTAAAATTCTAAAAAGTATACATTTTTATTTTCATGAACAATTCGAAATTCGAATTCAATAAACTTTTTTGTGGCCAGCAGTCTAAAAGAAAAGTTTTTACTGTGTGACAATACTTATGAGCTGACTGTGTATACATATATAATTTCATTGAGTGCCTTTGAATAGTGAATTAGCTAGTACCCTTATTGATAAACGAGGAATAACCCTAGACTAGTTACGGCGTATTTTGCTGATATCACACAATTAGAACCTATTAACATAAAACGCATATGATGATTTATCTGCCGCAATATGATGGTAGGTAAAACTGTATTAAAGTTATATCCCTAGGGATATAATTATATAGCGTTACATAGTTATACAGGGCGTTACCACTATTTGTATTTATACTGTATGACACAGCAATCAAAATGTAGGTAAATAATTAATGAATATTTAATCATTATGTAATGAAAGGAATGGAAGGAAACTTAATGATTCATCTCCGAAGTCATTTTTCAATTTGACGAATCTGTAAATAATAAAACAGGGAGAAAAAGCAGCCCTTGCTGAGTGTCTTGTCGGTTCTTCTCAGTACAAGGTCTCTCGCCGTAGATTTACGAACCGATGGCGTAGCTTCTAGACATTCATGAGTGCTTGTAACAGCCTAAACTGAATAAATGACTTTGAAACAAAAAGACAAATGTCATTTGGAACTCAATGAAGAGAAAAAACGTGGAGAAACTAATCCAAGCTTATTCTCCGTGTATTACTAAAGGGGTAGGAGTTTATTACTGCCAACGTTTATTGATAGAGGAATCTTTACTTTAACAAAGAAAGTAACGATTACATGACACTTATATTGTACCTAAATGAGAAATGATTACTTTGTTACAGTTTCGTAAATTATTTCTAATGTATTATTACATTACATTGTAACGAATTTGAAGCAAGCCAATGTTAAATTAGTACCTATTAAAACAAAGCGCATATCTGTGATCTGTATGATGTATCTATCGCAGTACGATAGGTAAAAAACCGTAATATAGTTATATCCCTAGGGATATAATTATATACCATTACATAGTTATACGAAAACGATTCAATAACGATAATATGTTTATCTGACGACTAAACTAATCTGGTGAAATAGTTATTATAATTTACCATAGAATCAAATAAAACAATACATTGGTTTTTATTTTGATTGAGAAATAATCTACTTTTTGCAACTTGCAATTAGTAACAATACCTGTTAGCAATAATACGTGTCTAAAAGTAATTATAATACACTTCCGGGTGCATCTATCGGCCGGCGGACGCTAGCTAAAAAGGTTACATTTGAGCAAAAAGTTATTACCTACGCAGTTTTGAAGCTGATTTATTAACCATCTTTTCGTGTGTTTTTAAAAATCATTGCTCAACCATAAACACTTATTATTGCTACAGGCCGTTGAAACTTATAACAATAAGTGGGCCGATAGACGTATCCGGAAGTACGTTTCGCTCGAATTTTGTATTTAACATTAACAATATAAATGCGAAAAATTATTAATTAATAAAATAAAGAAATCTATTTTGTTTGTAAAATACTAAAATTTTTAAGAACAGTTTTAAGACTTTGTTCTGACAAGACCCGGAATCATGACATCTACAGTCCTACAATTATTTCACTAAACTAAATCCGGTAATATTATTATATCACTAAACTTGAACCGTTTTATAATTATATTCTTGGTAAGATAGTTAAGCATCGCTTTCATATAATTATGTTACGTTATATAATTATATAAATTATCTCTAGGAATATAACTACATTACGGATTTATCTATCATACTACCCCATATCGACAACAAATTCTCGGTTTTTTCAGAATCGGAATCAGAATTTTATTTGTGAAACGTAGGTTAGTATACATGGTATATAATTTTTTTGTTAGTATCACTACATTTTCACCTTAATTAAGGTATACAAATAGATATGGAACCTATGAAAGAAGTACTATTATTTTTACATTGGAATCACAATTTATGAATATAATTTCAAATTATCTATTGTTACATGAATGTCAAAGTGGATTATAAATTAATTATAAATTTGATTTTTTATTAGTCTTGTCCAAATAGTCATACCATCAAAACGAGTCTAGTTATCACAAATAATCGAGCCTTATCCAGTTTCCGGTGGGTGTTACTCCAGCAGCTGCAAGTAACCAGTGACAGAAACCTGATACATCCGGTGAGCCTGCGGTCGCTAGGTGGCGCCTTGGTGCCAAGAGAAACTGCTTATAGGCTGACGGATGACAAATAGCTCATCGTACGGACAAAGGTTTTTTAAGAGCGGACGAGAGCGGACAAACATTTGAGAAATAGTTATTTGAAAAAACTATTCCTGTCTCGCATTAACAAATACCGTGCGATAGGGACAACAGTAGCTAACGCTGAAAATTGCGCATAATAAATGTTGCAAAATTCGAGGTTTGGCTCTCGAAGATTTCCTACTCGAAAATTAGATACTATATTTAAAAGAATTTCGCTCATAGAATAATAGGTAGTTAAACTAGACCACTATATTTTGCTTTTTATTGTAAATTCTTATTGATTCTCCACACTATCCATGTTTAGCAGTGATAAAAATTTGTTTTCTATTTGGCATTTTTGAGGGCTTCTAATTGCTTTGAAACACAAATTAATTATCGAAAAAAGGATGGCATAGGAGCATAGAAGGATTAGAACTATATTTTATTCATGAAAATGTTATGACCCGTAACAAAATCCAAGGAGGAACCAGTCGAGAATGTTTGTATGGAAAAAAACATTGCCCGCTTCCTATCTCAACGTCAAATTAGTCCCATTGTTTGTGGAAACTACCTTACCAATCTGAGACAGAAGCACGAATTTTGACAGCTCCGTAATCGTATCTTATCGTCAAAGTTTCTATGAAAACTAAGCAGAGCCCTCTACCGGACGTAAGAACAAACTGCCTTCTTCCATACAAAATTGCGACGCTGACAAAACGATTACGGATTTGTTTTGTGCTTGGGCTTGTGCTGGAGGGGTTTGGCTGATTAAATTTGGCTATTAATTGTTTGACATTCACTCCAAATCAGTGTTAAACTAAATTTATAAAAAAATGTATCAAAAATTGCTTATGTTTTGGCAAGGAGGCAGGAGAAATATCATAGTTTTTATTTCAAAATGACATAAATCTTAATTACTGCATTTAGTTTTGATTTCCGAAAAATATAACCACTCTTAATTTCCCAGTTAGTCTCAAGGGTCGACTAAGGGTTAAAATAAAAAAATACTCCGTTTATAACTATTTTCCAACTTAAATTCATCTTTAAAATTAATTGCAACCTGCACCGTTCCTTCTTTTAGGGACCAGCGATTAACCACAAAAGCGTTAAAGCCAACTTTATTTTTCTCAATCCTCATATACAGCTGCATACATATTTCCGAAAGACAACTCATTAGTCGACGCTTCGACGAACCAAACACAATTTCTGTGTACATTATTCAGTTGCAATGAAACACACAGGTGACCTAGCGCGGTCGATGCACCAATAATGATGACTTTGATGACATACAACTCGCGTCGAAAATACTCGCGCACGACACGAGGCAAAATCTTCACGTTGCCGTCAAATGAG